CAGTTAAGTAAAACATAACATCATGGTAGATTCAGAGTGTCCACCATTTTGTACAAAGAAACCTAGTTTTATAAACTCTAATTTCACAAGCCTCCACAACTGCAAACATCTCTCTGTTTCTTTGCCTGCTGACAACAGTGAATGACTTGACAGCGTCAACATCAAATCCATGGTCAACAAGATGCTTTGTTATTGAACTTTTAGGCACTTTGATTTCCGCTGTTTTCAACCACCTTGGCATATGCTTGACCATTCAAGTAGACAATAGTCTTTCTGTACGATCTATATGTTTGCTTGTTTTAAATTCATATCGGGAAATAAATGCTCCCATCTCTTAAAGAAGCGACTACTAAGAGAGAACAGTGACGACGAGTCCCTTCTACCTGATGTAGAAAGTAATCCTCCCTAAAGTGTATTTCACAAAGAACTCATGACAGAAAATAATGGTGTATATACCCAGTGCGATCGCCTACGATTGTTACGACGCATAGGTAAATACTAAATACGACTTCTCATTCATTCAGCATTCCAAGAAACTGAAACGTATACTTTACATCAAATCAACAGAAAAGTACATCAGTTACAATTCACATATCACCTCATACAGTGCTTAGAAACGCACTAAGGGTTCTGGGTAAAATAAACTAACAACCAGAAACTATAATCATACGTGCATTTGAAGCTACACTAGCACCAATGGAAAAATGTCAAATCTTGAAAAGACAAAAAAAAACGTTTTTACAAGTTAACGTAAAAGCCATCTAAAGACTAGTAACTTTTCGACCAATTCACATTGAAGGCATCAAAAAAGAAAGCAAAAAAAAGATATTAGCGAAATAATACTCAGTCCTTTCAAGTCATTTATAATTAGTCCATAAATTAATCAAGTGTAAGTGAAACAAGATAAGAAAAAGTGATATTGGCCATGTAAAGACATTGTCCAACGTGTTGTCCAGCTGATCTAGTCTGCTTTAAAAAAAATAAACAAATTATTGAAGCAAACCTACTTGTTTAATTAAGCTTGACTTTGAAACGACGACAAAATTCCGTCTACGCCAAGAAATATTAGTGTTTTAGAAACGTGAACAAAAGAAAAACAAGAATAGAGGATCTCATGTGTGTCAGCGATAGATTTCACTCGTCCATCACGCCGCATATAGTCTGGGATTCAATCCCCGGCCGACTCACTCTTAAACCTCGCTTAGTCGGTAATAAGCCCGGAAAGGAATGAAGTTTTGGTATGAGGCTAGCAACCTCATCCTGTAAAAACAGTGCCACTAAAAATGAGACTTCAAAGCTTAAGCTTCCAGCCCTGTATTACACTCGGAACGCAAAGGAATATAAGAGAAAGAGAATATCAAGTTACTGAACACTAAATGAAAAATAAATGGCCGAGAGATTTACCTACTGAATATTAACTAATTTTGTCTCATCTAATGATTAAATCACAGACAGTAACAAGCGGATGATTGTTTTACTTGTACAGTTAACAGTTTTGACATAACAATTATAATGCTTTCATATCCCCTCACATGAATGTTTTAGGCTAGAATCTTCGAATTGACTTTGTAGACAATATCTCCACACCTGATCTCTCACAATCGTCTTATTCTATGACATTAAATACTTTTGGTTATATCCCGTATTATTCTTATCAGTGCTTTTGTTTACTTCAATACTAATACCTAAGTTTGTATGGTTTCAGACCCACTAAATTTAGCCTGTATATATATATATATATATATATATATATATATATATATATATATATATATATATATATATATATATATATATATATATATATATATATATATATATATATATTAACATATTTCCAAGTTAGTGGTTTTGATCAATTTTATGGTATCCTTAATAATTCCCTTCATTCAAGAGTTTTAGATTTACCCGACCTAACTCTTGTTCATAGTTATCTAACAACAATCGTAACCCTAGCAGATAAAGGAAACCTAATTTCGAAGCATCACCATTCTTTTTTCATAAAGTTGTTGTTGCTGTTTTATTTGTCACAAACCTCGCAAACAAACAGAAAAAACCAAAGGCTAATCTTAGATGCATTGAAAAAGAATGGAAACAATAAAATCAATTAATGATTTTTACCGCATTACCTAAACACTAACATGGTATTTCTTGATATGCGATATCCTTATTTGTTTGACTATAAATGTTGTCAGAAATAATACGACGCTTTTTCACATATTTTGCACTGAAACAAGAAAATAAGTTAGCCAGCACAGATAACTTGTAACAGCATAAGGCAAGACACGGAAGCCAACGTATATTATCAAGTGATCAAACGCCTATTTATAGTTATACAGTTTATATATTTTTTCTTTAATCAATCCACTAAGCGTGTGATTTTGGTTTAAACTAAACGACATGAAATAGAATGTTCAAATACATATATAGTATTCTGTTGTTAATGCACTGTTGAACTGTGGGAATAGTATTCAGACATTAACACCAAAAATGATTCTTACTGTAAGAATAATATTCCGTTGGTACCCATTGTCTGTATCATAGAGAAGATTTGTAGCTCAGGTAGATAATTTTGATGTGGTTTTGTTCTCTGAGCTGGATGGTTAGTTTGCGAAGCTTTCATCGCCCTACTGGGTGACATCTTCAGCGCATACTTCAATTTGAAGTATGCGCTGAAGATGTCACCCAGTAGGGCGATGAAAGCTTCGCAAACTAACCATCCAGCTCAGAGAACAAAACCACATCAAAATTGTCTGTATCACACTACCACAACTGAACAAATGACTCAAAACGGAGTACCAGATAATAATAATTTTTATTATTTTTTTTATTTCCTTCACGTTCCCAGTGGAACATAGGGCTTCAAGCTAGAGGTTTGAAGTTTCTGTAGTAGTGTTCATTTTTACAGGATGGGGTTGCTAGCCTCATACCCAACCTTCCCTCTTTACCAGTCTTATTATTGGATAAGTGAGGTAAAGGACTGCGTCGGCCGGTGATCGAACCCCGGACCATGTGCATGGTCGGCGAGCATGCCAACCGCTGTGCCACCGACGCAATAATAATACTGAGGTAATAAAGAAACAAACATTCAAAATTCTTACGATAATTCAAAGCATCAATTATGATTAGCAGCAGACACCAACATCAGGTTTAATGAAGTGAAATAACCGAGAAACCAGTTTATTCAGAAATATGCATAAAACATACTTCCTAGTTTAACTAATCAATCAAAGAGCAAATGAAACACGAAAAGGGTACAATTCCCTCAGTATTGTTAGACTAAAAACAATCAATGTCGCCTTATGGGTTAATTAGCGAAACACGCAAAATGTTGATTAAACGCATTAAAAATTTGCTGATAAAATTTTTAAAAATGCATACCAAAAGCGAAAATACAACACGGAAATAAGCATGCACATTAAACTGAATAGAAAAATAGCTGGTTTTTCCAGATGAAAAAAGGAAAAATCAGTCTCTGTCACAACGAAACTCTTATCTAAACACAGAACTTATACCTTTTGAATTGTATAACTGAGTGAAAATATGTGTTGACTAATTCAATTTGATTGTAGTCACACTATTTTGTACATATGAGTAATTTTAATAGACATATTGAGACTAGAAATGTAAAAGATGTACAGATGAAGACGAGAATAAGAATTGTTCTATATATTCGTATGTCTTTTATCGTAGATTTCTTATCAGTAGGCCTGAATACCCCCCCCAGCATTACACTGATTTTAAAAAAGATAAGTCGAAATCTAATGTTGCACAAACTTAATCTTGTCGAATGACAAGCTGGAGTTTGTGTTTTGTACCCTCGTATTCAACAAAATTCATATTTTGAACCATCTGAATCAGCATTTTCATTTAGTGCTGCTGTCATACATGTTTCCAATGAATTACTGGAGTTGACACTTATCACAGTGAATAAACTAAATCATCATGTCTCTAGGTGGTACGTAATTTGATTTCATCTGGATCTGTGTATCACAAAGCTTGACAAAACAACTACACGTAGATAAGAAGTTAGTCACCTTCCTACTTGAAGATCAAATGGTAGTTTCATTAACTTATTAAAAGATTTATCAAGTCAATTTTGGTTGGCATCTGGAATATTTGAAATATTTAGAAATACATGGTAGTTATTACCTCTGATTCAGGAATCGTATATATATATATATATATATGATTACGAGTTGTAGACATTCCCGATTTCTAAAGAGTTTCACAACCACCTTTTAATTATTTCTCCATACTACATGATGGCAACAGATAGTTAAATTCCGAACGTTTCTCTTAGCACTTGTCCAACAAAATTACTATTATCATTCCCTCGGATTCCTAGTGGAACACAGAACTACACCGCCATTTCATTCTGTTCTCTGTAGTTGTCTTTGGCTAGCTTTACGATTGTTCCATAGGCTTTTATCTACTTCTCATACGATCTTCTTTATGTCACTCTCCCAGTGACGCCTAACTCGTTTCCTATTCGGTTTCCATCCAGGTGATGTCACTCAATGGTCCTCTCATCATATGTCTAATCCATCTCCATTACTGTCTGAATATTTGTTGTGTTCTTGGTTGGGCATCTGATCCTCAGTATCGAGGAAAATTAGATGTTGATGAAAGTTTAAAGCCTGATGGAAATGCTTCTCATAACGTGCTAAGTCTCTGAACCATATAGAAAGCGCTGACTAGACATTAATGTGAAAAATCCAAATCTTGTTCTCGATGCTGCTGAGTACATAAAGATATGCTTAATAAAAATTCGTGTCACACATGCGGTGTTTTGCATCAGGTTGTTGAATCGTAGTTACGGCGTTAATAAATACTCGTAATTTCATAGCTTAGATGATAGTGCTTTGATGTCTGTAGTAATAGTATTAGTTTCACAAACAAGAGACAAGTTCTGAATAGGATGAATCATGCGAATTCAATACTGCTCATATCATAGCCAAATACACTTAGTTACAAAGAATCCACTCACTTCTTTTCAGGTGTACATCATTGCTTATGATAAACAGTGTCATTACACCGATCAATCAAACCAATCCAACAAATTGGACTGGTAAAATCAATGTAAAAGCTAATTTATCAAATTCATCTACCAACTATAAATTTGATGATTTATCATTAATGCAAGTGCAGACGTCAAATATTTATCCGACAACATCACCAACAGGAATAAATCAACCTGAAAATTCAACTTCAATGTTTTCAGGCAAAGCTGAGTTATCATCGCATCGTATACCAAGCATGCATAATTTTCTAATATGCATTTATTCATTATTTATTATATGCGGTGCAACATTCAACTTGACTTTAATATTCGCCTTATTAAAGTTTCGAAAACAAACTTTATCACAAAATATAACAAATTTATTTGTATTATGTCTGGCTGTTTCAGATGTCTTCTTATGTTCTGTCAGTATGCCAATCCAATTGTATTATGAGATAACTGAGAATTATAAGCCAAGTACAGATTTCTGTCGAGTATTATTTAGTAGTTTTGGTATACCAATGTATATATCATGTTTAACTATTTTATTAATTGCATTCGACAGATATCGTTTAATTGTCTATCCATTGAAAACACAATTAACACCGAAAGCTGCTCTTGGTTTAATCAGTATTATAATTGTATTTAGTGTAGTGAATTCAATTCCAGTTGCAATACAAATCAGTACTGAAGGTACCGATGATTATCTTTATTGTGTTGAAACATGGCCAAGTGCAAAGTTAAGATTTGCATACTCTGTATCAATCTTTGTTATATTAGTTCTTTTACCGTTAAGTGCATCAGGTGGATTTTACTTAGCTATCTACAGACGTCTAAAACAACGACCCTGTCAATTGAATGCAAGTAAAGAAGCTGAAAAAAGAAAAAAGCGTACAACCAGTCTATTAGTGATAACAGTTGTCTGTTTTGCTGCCTGTTGGACACCATGGTGCTTATATTCTTTACTGTTAGAAGTACAAGCATTATTAAATGCTGAAAATGATTTATCCTCAATTAACAGATTTGGATTATCAAACGATGAACTACGTATACTTTCAGATCGTTTTAAAAAGTGTCAAGAACTTATTTTTTCTAAAATGAATCAACCATACTTTTTACCAATGCCTCCTAATCTTATTTCACCTACAGTAGAACTTATTCCGGGAAACATTTAAAAATTATTGATCTTTTATTAAAATTATTTGCTATGGGATCAGCATGTGTCAATCCACTGTTATATGGTTGGTTGAATGAACCTATACGTATAGTGATGAGAAGACAGTATAGTCGATTTGAAGAGTGTTTCAAACCAAATCAAAGCAACAAACACAATATAAATAATAGTACCAGTTATGTGAACGCTAATAGGCAAAAATTATGTTCTAAACCGACCAGTGGTAGTAAATCAACAAAATTTTTAACACCTCCAACATTAGTCAAGTCAATTTCAGATTACAACACACGATCTAAATTAATCGTTGAAAAACCGACCGGTGGTAGACAAGTGAATTCACAAGACACCAGATCGGCTAGTTATACTGAAGGAGTTGGCGAGGAATACAAAAAGTTGGGGAGATTTGAAAATACTTTTGCCTCTGACAATAATATTATTAATGATGACAATACTACAAATAAGAAAAGCTCATGTGAATTAATTCTACCCAAAATAGAAATTAATGTTAAAGAGAAACACACAAACAATCATTATGATCGGATAGACAAAATATGAATTCAAAAAATTTGTACAATATGTGGAAATATTTAATGTATCCAAGATACCATCAGGTGTAACATTTGAACCGCATAATCCAATACGAAGACGCGCATATATATATATATATATATATATATACGCTCGCAAAACCTGACAGTCATTCCAAACTTTGAACAAACAGAAATAACTTTCACCATTAATTTTGTTCGTTTTTTCTTTTTTTTGTTACGAATTCAAACACATACTAAATTTATTCATAATTAACTTGAGAGTTGTCAGGTTTTTCAATGCCTTCAAATGCTTAGAAGATGACGAGTGCATATAAAATGTACTAAAAATATGAGTTTCACAAGAACCAACAAATAAAAATCTTGTAAACATGAAAACTAGTAAGTATTAAAATAAATTAATTTCACAAACATTTTGTTTTTTTCCCCTTGATTTCACCTATACACAGAATCCAAATGCTGGTCAAAAATACGAACAGCATTTTTATTAGAAGAAATAATATTAAGTAGGCACATTACATTTAAAAATAGAGATTGAAAATCGATATCAGCATTAGACATGGAATTACAACAAGCGCATCCACGAGGTCAAAAATCATATATGCAATTCAGGGAAAAAAGAGTAGTATAAGGATTAAAATGAGGACAAGCTGTATGGATACAACTACTTATAAATAAGGCAGTGGAAATAACAGATATATTCATAAAACAATGCAAGTAGAACAGTTGTATATATATATATATATATATATATATATATATATATATATTAGTGTGAATTTCAAATAATTATTATTTATTATTATTGCTCCCTTGTGGTCCCAGTGGAACATAGGGCTTCAACTGCACGTCTCTACTTGCTTCTCTCTTCCTTCTGCTGTACTTTTCACTTGCATCCATGTTAGTCCATACTCTTTCAACTCCTCTTCACACGATCTCCTCCATGTCACCCTTGGACGTCCCACTCACCGCTTCCCTTTCGGCATGGTTCCAGTCGAGCAATGGCCTGACACGCGATGTCACCCAGCGTTCTCTTTAGTGAGTGTCCGATCCATCTCCACTTTCTCCTGCATATTTGTTGGGCGATTGGTTCTTGTTTTGTTTGTTTGTTCCCATAGTTTCCTGTCGGTGATTCTTTCCGGTCCGGCCATCTGATCTTCAGTATAGAGCGAAAAGAGTTGTTGATAAATATCTGCAACCTGTTGAAAATATTCTTTGTGACCCGCCTGCCAAGTTTCTGATCCGTGTACAAGAACTGACTGAACTGACGTTTGTATTGAAAATCCGACCGAATTTTGTTGTTGATCCTGAGTGAAGAAGATTTCCTGATTGGTTTCATGTTGATGAATGTGTTTCTCGCTCGCCTTCCCGATTCTCGCTCGATTTGACATCCTCGTTCGTTCCTCCTGTAGTTGAGACAATGCTTCCTAGATAAGTGAATGAAGTGATCTCTTTCAAATCCCTCCCGTTGATGGTGATTGACGCTGGATGTTGCTGCTGCTGTTGTTGTTGGTTGGTTATTTTCATAACCTCCGTCTTGTCTATGTTCACTTGGAGTCCTGTCTTCGCTGGGTGCTTCTTCGACCAGTTTGTCGGTTTTCGCTTGTAAGTCTTCGATCTTGTGTGACATCAAACATAAATCATCCACGCGTAAAATCCAGGTCTTCTAGGTTCTTCATGTGGGTTCAGCATATCCCTGTCTTCTCGTTTCCCACTGTCTGACGTATAATCCAGTCAGTCCACCACAATTAGGAATATCATTGGTGGTAATAAGCACCCTTGTCCGACTCCTGTATTTATTCTAAACGCCTCACTGAGTTTTCTGTTGTGGGTACGCCGTAGTACTCGAGTAGTTTCCAAATTACTTCACGATCAACGCTGTCGAAGGCCTTCTCAAAGTCTATAAAGTTGAGGTAGAGGTTTGAGTGATGCCATTCCATGCTTTGTTCTGTCATGATGATGCGTAGAGTTGCAATTTGGTCAAGACATGATTTGCCTTTCCTGAATCCAGCTTGTTCTGGTCGGAGTTCTGTATCCAGTGCGTCCTTTATTCTCTCCAGGATGATGCGACTCAGGATTTTACTTGGCGTCGACAGGAGCATGATTCCTCGCCAGTTCTTGCAGAGTGAGGCCTAAGTCTCCCTTCTTTGGTAGTTTCACGAGGTAACCTTTCCTCCAGTCAGTAGGCACCTTTCCCTCCTTCCAGACCTTTTGCAATAATGGAGTCAGCATGTCTGCTGTAGTCTCTGGGTCCGCTTTCAGTGCTTCAGGGGGTATTCCATCTGGTCCAGCTGCTTTTCCAGCTTTCAGAAGCTTGATTGCATTCAAGACTTCAGCTCTCGTTGGAGGATTGGTGTCAACTTGCAGTTGTGTACGTGCTGTTGTTGGTATTTCTGGACGGGTTGCAGGTGGTGGTCGGTTCAAGAGTCCTTTGAAGTGATCCGCCCATTGTTTAATCTGTTTTTCTTCCTTGGTAATTGGGTTCCCTTGGCTGTCTTTTATAGGTTTCGCTTGTGTTGATCTCTTCCCGGATAGAGATTTGGTTATCTGATATAGTGTCCTCAGGTCCCTTTTGCCTGCTGCCTTCTCAGCTTCAGTGGCGAGGTTGTCGTAGAATCGTCTTTTGTCCTTCCTAGCACTCTTCTTCACTTCTTTGTCCAGTGCTTTGTAAGTGTTTCCTTCTCCTGTCCGTCCTTGCATTGAATCATTTTCTCTTTCACCATTCTCCTCTCTTCTATTAATTTCCAAGTGTCCGTTGAGAGCCATTCCTTGTCTTGTCTCTTCTTTCTTCCTAGAACCGTTGAACACGTTTCGTTGAGAATCGCCTTCAGAGACTTCCAATGTTCTTCCACGCATGATTCTTCAGTGATGTCGCGTAGTGTTTCCTGCTTTGCTCTGACAGTTGCAGTGAAGTGTCTTTTGTGGTTGTGTCCTTCAGTAATTGAGTGTTGAACTTGCATTGTGGCCTATCCCCAGCTATCCTCGAGGCTTTTAGTTTCACCTTGAAAGTCCCTTGTACTAGATAGTGGTCTGAACCCACATCTGCTCCTCTCCTCGACCTTGTGTCCAGTAGGCTCCGTCTCCACTTTCTTGAAATTGAGATGAAGTCTATTTGGTTCTTGGTGTTTCCATCTGGTGAAATCCATGTCGTCTTGTGTATATCCTTGTGTTTGAACACACTACCACCAATCACCAAATCATTGAAGGCGCAGAAGTCTGAGAAGAGTTCACCATTGTCGTTCATTTCGCCGAGGGCCTCACGACCCATGGTGAGTTCTCTTCCTGTGTTGTCTCCTCCCAGCTTCGCATTCATGTCGCCCATCAGGATTTTGATATCGCCATTTGGGACGTTGTCCATTATTGCTTGTAGTTGTCTGTAGAACGCCTCCTTCTTCTCTTGTTCTGAGACGTTTGTAGGCGCATTGCATTGAATGACTGTAACTTTCCTTCCTTTTGAGTTGAACCTGGCTGTCATTATCCTGGAGGAGATTGGTTCCCACTGCATGAGAGCTTTGGCTGCTGTTGGTGACATCATGATGGCCACTCCCTCGGTGTGCTCGTGGTTGTCCTTCGGGTGGCCGGAATAGATTACTGTCTCTCCAGTAGGTAGTTGGCACCTTCCAGTTCCGTTCCATCTGCTCTCGCAGATTCCCAACACTTCTATTCTGTACCTTCTCATTTCAGCGGCTATCTGGGCAGCCTTTCCAGTTTCGTACATTGTACGAACATTCCAGGTACCCATCCTTACTTTTGCTTTCATCGAAAGAAGGCACATCGGCTGACTGGCTTCCCGAAGGCTTTCACCAGCCTGCGTCATTTCACCTTCCCGATTCCAGCGAAAAATAAGGCTATTGTTTATATTTTTAGAATTTTTAATATATTTATTCGTTGAAGTTTCTGTAGCGATTTGGTTGTTTTACAGAGGTGGAGTTGCTAGCACCACACTTCAACCCTCCCTCTTTATCCGGGCTTGGGACCGGCAAGAAAACTAGCGAGCTAGTAATCTAGGGGTAATAAATAAGATAAAATTGTTCTATAATATACCATTGAATATAACAGTTTGAGTAATGCTGAAAACTTACAGGGCCGAAAATATTTCAAAGATTAAAGCTAAAGAAAAACAGATTCCCAATTATATATAGATATAGATATACAGAATAAGACATCCTTCTAAAGGTCAACAGCAGAGTTCACTTTCGTTGATATTGTAGGTTTCACTAATGTAATCTATTAAACTATAAGAATAATCCGCTAAACAAGGGAATGATAATGCCGTAGTGAACACATTTTGACTATTTTTTATTTGATAAACTTATATAAAGCTGCTATACATAAAAACCTACTTTATATCATGAGACCTAACGGCTATAAGCGAAGTCCCTTTGAGCATCCGAACGAGTAGTTTTAGGAAGACATTTGTCATAGGAGAACGCACTTGCCTATGTGACTTTAAGAATACTTAGCTAACAACTGCACATTAGCAGTAACAGTGAGTCGGTGGCAGCTTACTCTTAGACGAATAAGAATCCTGACGGGGATCTAATCTAATCTAACCCAATCTACAACTTTTTCTATAGTTGGTTTGTAAGGATTAGTGTTTTATTTTTACGAGTTGATCACAGATTGATGGTTCTGTAACTGATATCAATCCCCGATCAACTCGTAATAATATACAACTGTTGTAAGTAACCCTAGTAGTGAAAAATATCACTGACTTTCAGTACCCTGTAACAACAAAACCAATGGTCATAAAAAAAATTGAATAAAAATAGAAACATTAAATTTTTTGCAATACATGAAAATTAAAAATTATAAGAACGGAAATAATAAAACAATTTTATTTAACTTTCATAGAGCTTTATTATAAGACAACTATTCAGGCATACGACTGACTGAATGAATGATACTAACATAGGTGTTATCCACTCGATTTAAGCAAATTAACGAACAAACAAATTCATACACACACACACACACAAAGAATATAGGTGTACAACGCAAACAAAGAGAAAAACAGATAAAAAGAGAAGAAAACAACTATTACATTGACGAGTTGCAGTTATCTCCAATAGGCAAAATGTAAATATGCTTCATCATTGTGATATGAAAGATGAGAAGGTATCCTCGCTACTCTCTGTCTCTCTCTCTCCCTCTCGCATATACATTCTAGTTGTGTTCTTCCACCTGACTGTTATTTAAATGATTGACTACTTTAAAAATAGAATTTTTTCTCTAAAAAAAGAAGAACTATTTTTGTTTGATGAGAAGGTACTGCTAACTAGTGATTACAATAAGATGGAACATAACGGTAAATATTTGTAAATATCATAGCTAGGATCAATAAATTAAAACAAAAAATAGAAAAGAAATAATGCTACATACAATCTGTGTGTGTGTGGGTGGGGGGTAGTAAAAGACCTATAAAGGTAGATCTGTTGACTGTCGAACATCTTTGAGCTTGCGAACCTGTCTCACAGTGACTACGAAAGACTGCTTTCATTCGAATATATGCAAGCAAACAAGAATGAAGAACGTGTAATAAACGATTTCGCCTACCTGGGAGATTCCTAGTGAATAGTAATAATAATAATAATTGATAACAAGCTGACTTATGTTAAAGAACCACTGCAGACCAGAGAGTACTGCACAGTCGTTTCGTTCTAGTCTGTGACTCTTCATCAGTACACTCCCATGATGTCCCCCCTCAAAAGGACATTTTGATTACGAGGCGAGATCATTGAGTATTCAGACATTGGGAGGGAATACAGTGCCTATTTGTGATATGTTGCGCGACTGCCAACTAATATCATCGATGAGTATCTTCCCTCACACCTAACTGAGGTGTGTGTGTGAGTGTGTGTGTGCGTGATCAGACTGTTCAACAATATTTGTAGGTAAACTTCGTCGTCTGATACCTCTATCCACATAACTTAATTATTTTTCGGAGTACACAGGATGCTTTGTTTGAGCAGAATAGAAAGAAAACGGTTTTACAGGATAGAATATTAGTTCAGAAAAAAAGCTCTCTTAGGAAGAGAAATCTGAGAATTTCAAAACAGTATTTGCGTAGCAGTATAAGAGACATAAAGAAAGCCAGTAAAGCAATAATGGCAAATTTGGAGTTCGCACGGTCTGCTAATACAATACTGCAATGGACGTTTCTGGATTAAACAGAAGAAATAAATGCAACATTTACATCCACAATGCATGTATGAAATCAGTAACCTATCTGCCCATTAGAGAAAGAGAGCGTTTCATTTTATTGTAAGTATACTGCAATAAAGTATATTCAATCAATTATATGGTTCAAAATGACTACTCAAAATGAATGGGTGTTTCGATGATAGAGTGCGAAGAAAAAAAAAGATTGCAGACACGCCTTGCTGACGAGTGCCAACTAGCACGAAACCTAGGTACAAGGCTTCCTACCGATTGCCTCCAACCATCTAATATAAAAAAAAGATTTATTTCCCCTTTGGGAGGAAAGGAAGGAATTAAATTCTAGCCAACCAGTTAATCCTTCGGATTCCGAGTGAAACATAGGGCTTCAGGTTTGAAGCCTTGACTTTTCAGTAGCCGTGTAGTTTTTATGGGGTAGAGTTGTTAGCCTCACGAACAACATTCAGTCTTTTACGAGCTAGTTAACTAGGCAGTCTAGGAGTGTGTCAGTCAGGGATCGATCTCCCGACCGCGTGCGAAGTAAGAGAGGATTCTACCACTGAACCGTCGACTTACACTTGAATCAAGTTATGTAATGTTAAATGAAACAATGAGCTTTTAAGATTGCGCGTTGAATTTCCCTGAATATCAGAAAAATTAAGGGAGAAGAATGATGAATAAGCGTGAAAGCCTAATAAGAGATTTATTTTAAGGAGAAAACAAGTGACCGCTGCTAAGAATGATGAATGAAATAATTCATACATCACTCCTCATGGGATAATTTGAGTGATTATATTCAATCAGCCAGACTGAATGTGGTATGTCATATACACCAAGAAAATATGGTGGTAACACTAAGATATTAGGGCGATAATACTAACAAAGTTTAACGGAACTGAATTCTAAAGTAGCTATCAGTTTATATTTAATGTAAACTTTAAAAGAAACCTTGTAGAGATTTATCACACCGAACAAAATCCAAATTAGTTCCATTGCATTATTGGCAAATCAGTTCTTCTATATGAGTCAGAAATTTTGCAGCGTCACAACAGGCATCTTCGTCAGGCTACTCTGTGAACTTTTATCAACAGCTGTCTTCGCTTTGTAACAAAGAACAGACAGTCGGCCGGAAAGCTTTAGCGACAAGAACGAACGAATAGAGAACCTATTGCTCAACAAATATTCCGAAGAAAATGGAAGTGTGGATTGGATACACGCTGAGGAAGCCGTCATGTGACATTGTGAGCCGAGTGGGAAACGATGAGTAAGTTTTTCTGAGGATGACAGGATTGATATCTCGTGAGGAGAAGATGAAAACTTGTGAGTGACAATCGGGTCGGTTAAAGACGACTGAAGAGAATAGGACAAACTGGAGATGTGATGTTAAAGCCCTATGTCCCACTCTGAGCACAAATGAATAATAATACATAATAATAATAACAATAATAATAAAACAGATTACACTGCGAAAAATAATTCCAAGACAAATAGAATAACTTACTTATAGGTGGTAAGGTGACGAGCATAACCAGCTAGTTGTTCGTCTATACCAGACCCGAGAAACAAAAACTAGAGAGAAGCGAATGAAAATAATAATAAAGTAAAGTTATTTTTATGAGAACCAAAAATACGGAGACTTCAGTGTAAATAACAATGCACAACAAATTAACGTAAAAAAGATTTTGAAAGAAACCGCTGAGTAGGAATTCGAAACAGTCTAACTTTTCTATCATATCAAACATATATTTGTCAACACTTCATATAACCATTTACGGGGCAACGTTTCGTGGACTTTCATCGAGACACACCATGTGGACACTATAAGAGCATGAATACAACAAAACTTAGTTACTGCAGTAAAAAGAAATGTTGTGTATGCCAATTTAAAACGCGATTATTGGGAAATCATAAGATGAGTTTTTTGAGTTCATACATGCGACCTTAAAAAAGTCGAATCAAGGAGTATTACAGACTATCACACAATAGAATGCTTCAGTCTCTTAGCAGAGCATTCACAGCATCCACTTTAGGGCTTTTAAGTGAGACACGATTGGATCCCTTAGAAAAAGTAACGAAGACTTGAATTCAATTTTTTTAAATATACCACAATTAGGTTATTATCAAGTTGAACTGCCTTGAAAAAACACATACAACTGGATTGTATTTTAGGTACTGACTGAAAAATATACCCGCTGCACAGTTTGAATACTGGATAATGAGTAGTCTAAAAGGAAAACAAGTGAGATATGTCACTTTTAACAACTCAGTTCAATTAATTAGCCAATCGCAGTAGAATCAACAGGTCATTAGACAAACTACGTCTGATCAGTAGAATAATCTGGCAGAAAAAACTGCTCACACTGTCTGATACCTTGAATATATATACACAAAAGGATATTAATATTGGATTGTCCTATTTTCTCACTGGTGAGATTTTTAAATGCTTCTCTAATTATTATCCCTCTGTGTCTTAAAAGCTTTGTATTCATTTTCAATCAAAGCAGTAAGTAAATGGCATAAACAGGAAATGCATCTCTAAAATGTACAACAATTTATTACCCAACAAATATATAGAGAAGGAAGTGGAAATGCAATGGCTACATACTAAGCAGACATTCATGTGACACTACAACACACCAGACCAAATACACTGAAACCTGTCTGGGAAGCAGTGTGTTGGAAATCCGAAGGTGACATGTAGGAAAATCGTGTGAAGAGAAAATGAAAGCTTGTGGGCAGTGGTACAGCCAGTTTGGAAATGACAGCAAAGAATCATGTGCAATGCAGATGTACAACTAAAACTCTGTGCCCTACTTGGAAGGTAAGGAACGAAAAATAAATACTTTTGGTTTATTGATTATCACCATGCAAGTGAACCTGGAGGGAAAAAACACTGACGAAACCTAAGTACAGAAAAAATTACTATAAACGTAATACTGTTAAGTCTGAAATTACAGTGAAAAATAGACTGACTGTTGAATGTTAGAGGAGAAAATCATTGAAGTAAGTAATAATAAATACAATTGTGTGTGTTGTAATTACGCAATATAGCTCGGGGATATTTTCAGCAGGAGGTTGATTATTAAACTCAAATAACCTTGTTATTTTATTTTTTTTTTAATTACTCACACTATGTACACACACACACATCTGTATGCATATATTAATTAATATTATGATTTGTAGGTTAAATGTACACTGATTACACAGTGAGGACATTTCTTTCCCAAGAGAGAAAAAATTAATCATAAGACTAATGTGCTGTGTATGTGATTAGGAAAACTCAGAGAGGTATGTTAAAGCAGTAACGAATAGAAGAGACAACTTTAAACATTGCAGTGTATTATGACGCGTATTACTTGATTTTGCATAATGAATTCGAATGATGCGTCTGTTGATTATTTATCGGTCTTAAATCACACAAAGACAGACAAGGAGCAAATGAAAGATGAAAATTACTTCCTAAATCTTATAATATTGGATATTATAATGTCACAATTCTTAGTGAAGTATATATACCGCTTCAAATAATTAGAATTAGTGGGGATTTTGTTATATGAAATGATTCAAATAATATAATATCCTTTTTTTTAGAAAAGAGAAAGATCAAGCGAAGAAATATTGACTTTTCAATTATATCCTCATCTCTGGCTCTACTCTAATATGTATAGCATTTTTATTACAATACACAACAGTTTACCAACCAAGTGGCACTGATATGTTTGTTAACAATAATTAATTAGTCAGTGTCAAAATGTCAATGGGGTGATAATTAACGAAGAAAAATTAATATATATAATTAAAAGGTGGAAATGGTTACAACAAGTGGATTGCATAATGCATAATTTGGGAAAATGAAGAGCAATTAAGGAATAGGCGTGTGCACAGGTTGATTACGTAACAGATTGTTAAAGAAAATAAAACAATTTGGACAACGATAATTTGTAACTAAAGTTGAAGTGGTCATAAGAATAAAATAATTTTTACAAGGATAACACGTAATTAAAGATGAAGTAGTCGGAAAAATAAATTAATTTGGACAATTACAGTTTTCATAGTTTTTTAAAAAGAAAAATTATTTTAGGGGGAGGGGGATGAAGTAGTCCAGTTTACACAATCATGTAACGATGGCCAAGGTAAGGAAAGTGGCTGTACAAATTTCTTCTGAACACACAAGTTTGGCTTCTTCAGGTGGATTCCTATTGCTTCAGCTGTATGTAGAAGACGAACTCGTAAAGCAAAATTAAGATTAGTAGGAATGCGATAAATAATTTTAAATGCAGTATTAACATCAACCTTATGCTCACTATCTACAAGGTGGGCTAAAATAGAGCTACGAATAGATCTTGTTTGTCCCTTGCTTAACCATGTCGGATGATATTCGGAGATACGATGATGAACCTGCCTAATTGTTCGCCCGATTTAGCTGGCTCCGCAGCTGCAGTCAAACTGGTAGATACAGACAGATAGAAGAGGCGAATTTAGGTAGTTTATCCTTATTACTCGAACGTAGGATAGGTGTGGTTGTGAAGAGACAGCGTACCTCTGCTGCATAATAAGCTCTTTTAACTGCATTCTTCAGTCGTTGTGTTATTATTTCGCTGATGGTGTCACCGAGGAACTGAAGTTTTATGAACAGTGGTTTTTTCGGAACTGTTGCCATAGTGACTGTCCTAGATGATGAATTCATATTTTTCTCAATAAACTTATCTGGATAACCATTTTTTCTAAGTAATTCTCTAAGCTCCTCATTGAAGCAGTCGTCTGAACAGATTAACCCAGCTCTATGAACCAGACACTTTACCAGGTTACGTTTATATTTCAAAGGTACAAAACTCAAAAAATGAGTGTACTGACCTGTCGTAGTAGGTTTCCTGTACACACTCCTTCTTAGTATGCCATCTTCTTTCCTTGCCATAAAGACGTCTATGAATGAGATACTGTCATTACTTTATTTCTCTGTGGTAAAGTTTATTGCTAAATGGGCATCATTAAACTTGTCATGTTCATTGCATCGTTCTCGTTTTTTATGACCAGAAATGTATCATCCATATATCGACAGTAGAAATCCAAGTCACTAATTACTCCTTTCAGTGGTCCATTCTCTTACTTAGCGAGGAAAAAATCAGCTAGGATTGGGCCTAATGGGGAACCCATAGCTACACCATCAATTTGTCTGTAATATTCCTTATTGAATAAAAAATGAACGTTCATTGTACGTCTTAAAATAAGTTCCTTCAAGGTGGATACAGAAATGCCGATATCTATGTTTCGTGTAGTAATCTCCTTTTTTTTGCTTCAACAAAATTCGGCCCATGGATACATAAAGTGTCAATCTCGTCACATGTGCACTGAGTTTTTATGCCAACAAACAATGTACTGCTAACTATATGTAATCAATTTAACGGTTATAATAGCTGATCTTATAAAAAAACCAACTCCATCACAAAATCCATAAGGGTATGTAGAATACAAATGTGGAAATATTGATATACAGACATGCACACACAAAAAAATTTTTATTGGTGATTTAACATTCACAGAGTGGAGGATAATAATGAGATACAAAGAGTTCATCTAAAGTAAACTGCCCACTGATATTTTGGAATTGATGTAACTGTTATTTTCTAGCTAATCAACGTGTTATACCACCAGCTGAATCAATATCGAATTTCTCTTAAAATTTCACTAAACAAAGAAAAGCATTCACAGAATGGACAGGTGAAATTTATTGACTTGATTTCATTAGTCATCAGTAAGATTTTTTTGTTCAAAAATCACTGTGAAAATGAGTCTAAGTGGGTTGAACAGGTCAAGTGGTCGAATGGTCTATGAACCCAACTTGTAACCTAATGGCGCTGGAATCGAACACCAGTGAGTGCGCACTGATGAAGATTCCTAAACTAGGACGAGACAGATGTTCAGCATTCCCTGGTTTTCCGAAGGTTCTCTAAACGACGCCCAACTCGTGATCAAACGTGTATAAAATATTCTATGAACTACCAGAAGGAACGATTGATTTATAAACCCCAATCTACGAAAACACACCAGAGTGTAATGGTGCGCATCACCAATGTGAAAGATTCAAAAACAAAGACAGGTTTAATCATGAGTGGGGGTAAAAAGGTGTTGTGCTTCTAGATAATGAGAGGAGTTAATCAGTTGAGGGAGTTTTGCGCTTGTAGGCACTGATTAACGAAAAGTGCTGATGACCTCAATGAGATACACTATTTTTTTAAGACAGCAGATACACTTTGGTAATGAGTACTAACAATCACAAAAAATAACTTTCCATCAAATGGCATTCCACGCCGAAAACAAAAGTAAAGTGCAGTGGCTGTTTTTACATTGTATACTCAAAGAACAGAAATAAGACAATGGCGTAGATCACCTTCCAGTGTTAAATGCGTAAATAATATTTTGCATATCCAATAATAGCACCAGAACTTCTAGCTTGCTACTTCAACCTGCTGCAGTTTGCAATAAGAAATGAAATTTGAACCGTTCAGTATATCAGGCTTCATAAAAGAGGACTTCGTCACAGTTGGAACGGCAGCAGACGAAGACTT